TCTGTTGCTAAGTTGAACTCTTTTGTTTCATTTTATAATTCGCTTTTTATTTTCTTTTTTTCCTTTATTCGATAATACAAACAAAAAAAGTATTTTAAGATTTTTTTCATTATAATAGAAACATAAAATACAAAATGATAAACAAATGAAGTTCTAAAAATCATTTTCATATTCAATATTGAATATTTTAATTATTGCTGTCTTAGATAAGTTGTTATTTATAAAGAAATTTCGTGTTAAATTTTTATTTTCTTTTTCATCATCGCCATCAACATTATCGATCCAGATTTTAATCATTTTTAAATTTAATGGTAAAATTAAATTTCTTGTTGTAGTTGATGATGCCTATTACGAAAAAATTTCATTAAGAAAAAAGTCTAATAGTTGTTTTCGCGTACTGCGTATTGTCGGTGATCATAGTAGCCCATAAAATGGATCGAATTTATAATTAAATATTTTAATTTCGGTAGATATGGTAATAAATCTGTTATTAATGCATAAAAGCATAATGTTGATGCTGATATAGTATAATTATTATCATTGCACATATTTCTATATATATAAGTTATAGATATGTGTAGAATTAAATAACTTACCTCCAATAATAAGGGTTTCTAAATGACTTAACCCTTTCCAGCCGGCTACTAGAAGGCAAGTAGCAAAAAAATCTTTTTATGGATTTTCGTTGCTCCTAGACCATGAAGATAGGAAAAATTTATTTCTCAGAACTACTAAGTGTTTCGACATCTAATGGCTTCATGTATCCATTTGGATACATCCGGCCACTAAGGGACCAATATTTTGAAAAAGTCATTTCGTTTTGTCTAGCAAAACTCGATATTTTATGGTTTTTTTTTACATTTATATTTGTAGAGGCAATCACACGTTGCCTGTTTGTCGATGGTTTGCAGTCCAAAGCTTAAATTTTTGTAGAATGTTCCAAGATACTGCTGTATGGTGCAATAGGAGCTCAATTTTTTCCGAAAAATTTTTGGAAATTCAGAAACATTCTAAAGAGTTTCTGAACATTCTGTAGTGTTCAGAACTAGGCTATTACGAAATATTCAGTAACTCTCTACAATTTTCCTGGATTTCTAGAAATTTTCGGAAAAAATTGAGCTACTATTGCATCATACAGCAGAATCTTAGAACATTCTACAAACATTTAAGCTTTGGACTGCAAAACATCGACAAACAGACAACATGTGATTGCATCTACAAATATAGATGTAAAAAAAACCATAAAGTGTTGAATTTTGATAGGCAAAAAGAAACGAGTTTTTGCAAAATATTTGTTCCTTAGTGGCCGAATGTATCCAAATGGATACATTCCCATCTTTTATTATTCGGGTTTTTTAAATAATCCGTCTTAGTGATGCAATAGACTGTAGGTCTACGAATGAAAATTAACAACTACTTGCTGCGAAGTTTGATTATTTAGAGACACGAGAAAAGGATTATTTCTATACGGACGCTATTTTGGAGCATTTGAGGTAGAGCCGGCCATTTTCTTAGTGAGTATTTTTTTCTTCTTCTAAACACGTGAGTGTGTGTTGAAATGTGTTAACTTATTTATCAAATCGTCAAAACATTTCATATCATCACTACAAGTTACTTCTTCGTAAAACATTGGCTTAATGTATCCAAATGGATACATTCGGCTGGAAATGGTTTAACGATTTTTTTCTTCTTGATAATTCCTTAAAAGTCTAAATAAATGTCATCTATAGGTGAGGACCTACCATTTTGACATCCACATCGATATTGTTCAAAATTTAAATGCAAATATATTAATGATTTCATTTTAGATGATATTAAATTATTACATAATTTTAAACATATAAAAATTCAAGTTGTGTCTACATAATCAATCAGATTTAAATGTTTATTCTTACTTTGTATGTTATTATCTTCTTCTCTTTTATCTTCTGTACTGATTTCATCTAGTAAATTTAACCGTCTTAAACTTTCATATAATTTTGCGGTTGTTTCAAATATTATAACATGCGGTGCAAAAGTCTTTGCAAAAATGTTCGACTCTATT